CGGCGGACGCAGCCGAGGCTCCTGAAACCGGGCCTGGCGACCGGAGGCTGCGGAGCCTGGAGGAGCTTTCAGGACCAGGGCAGCTGCGCTTCTTATTCCAGCTGTTGGTGCAAGGCTACGTTCTGCACTTGCACCAGCTCCAGGTAAGTGAGCAGGGCCTCGGGACTGGGGAATGGGAGGTGAGTGAGCACTGGGACAGAAGCTGGGGATGGTGAGACATTGGACAAAAAGTGAAGAACATGGGAACTTAGCTGGGCACCGGCTGGGGTCCTGTAGGGGTTATGTGCAAAGGGCAGACAGCCCTTGGAACTGAAATGAACAGGTCTAGGAGTGTTAAGAACCAGGAGGGCACCAGAAAGAGGCGAGGTTTAAAGTGAACAGAGCTTGAAAGAGGAGGGAACTGTCTTGGTAACAGAATGCAAGTATATAAGCTGCCAGATGTTATAGAGCCACTATTTAATTCTGTGGTTATATTGGCTACCATAGATGTCTCCCAAAGGAAATGGCTTTAGGAGGATTACAGAGGCTTAGCACTTAACCTGGTAAATCGACCCTTAGGGGAAAAAAGATGTCATTTCTTAGGGACATTAGACGTGAAAGAAATCATAGACATTAAGGAAAAGGCACCTTTTTTGTCAATTTTCAGTAAGAAGGATTTATTCAATGGAACACAGATATGAGGCAGGAATGAATGGATAGCCTACTGTCAATGGACAGAGGCTAAAAAACCCAATATTGGTTTAGTTGGAGAAGTTTTTTAGGAAATGAACTGAATTAATGCACACACTCTGTCCCAGGCATTTTTCCAAGTGTTAGAATTCAATGAGATAAAGCCAACACCCTCATGGGGTTTATATACTCTGGGACCTTCCCTGTTTCTGAGACTTGGTGGGCAGGTCGTAAGGTACTCAGAGATGCTTAAAAAATTATTCTTTTAAGCTCAGCCCCAAGGAACTAAATAAGCCAAGAAACCAGAATCCTGTATACTTTTTCTGCTTGATTTGACCTCTGGAAATTTGAGAGGCCCAGTGAATGGTCAAGGGTGGCACCTGAGAATTTCTCATCATTTCTCAGGGGAAGATTACTAAGAGGTTTTGCTCAGGAGTTTCTCTAGAACAGTAACTACCAAAGAAATCCTAAATGGCCCTAGGAGGAGGAGGAAGAAGCACAAGAAAGCCAGGAATGTGTGTCCTTTTAAATGAGAGGCCATGGCTAGGATTTAGGAGAGTCCCCTAATTCTAGCCTTTATATCCCAAAGATCTGGAGTCATGTGAACCTGGGATGTTCCATGGGAAATATATTAGCCCTTCCCACTGACTACACGTGGCCTGTGTGAGTTAATAAAGGGCAGAGTCCTGTACATCTATAAAACCCAGTTAATAACTCTACTGAAGAATAGGATGCATTCCAGTGACCCACTTTGTATCAGTTCAAATTCATTTGGTTTCTACTCACACTGGCTTAAACTATAAAGCAGCTTTATTGGTTCACATAACTGAAAAGTCTAATAGTTGGGTGCCCTTCAGGTATAGTTTGCTCTAGAAATTCATGAAATCATCAAAACTACAGTTTTGTTTTTTTCTGCAGTTCTCTTGGCCCAGCTGTCTTGCAGAAATTAGTTGACTGGCTTGGGTTAATTGTCCATCCCTGAACACATCATAGTGGCCACATACATGTTCTAAGTAGCTTAGACCCAAACAGGCTCACCCCTATATCTGGGGTTGGGTCTTTCCCTCTAAACCAGGTGGCTACTGTACAAGGGGGAGAACTGGAATTAATATAGGGCCACCTGACCACAATGCTTCCTGCACCCTCAGTTGTAAAAAATTGCATGAATGCATAAAAATAATCAAATCAGCTCAAGGAAGCATTGTAGGACTTAAGGTGGTAGAGTGAGAATTGAGACATGTGTAAATCAGGCTAGTCCAGTGATGGCGAACCTATGACACGCATGTCAGAGGTGACATGCGAACTCATTTTTTTGGTTGATTTTTCTTTGTTAAATGGCATTTAAATATATAAAAGAAATATCAAAAATATAAATCTTTGTTTTACTATGGTTGCAAATATCAACAAATTTCTATATGTGACACGGCACCAGAGTTAAGTTAGGGTTTTTCAAAATGCTGACACGCCGAGCTCAAAAGGTTCGCCATCACTGGGCTAGTCCATAAACGCTAGCTTCTTTCTCTTTCCTAACCAAAATAATGTTCATCCAGAGTGTTGGAAAAATGAAATGTGAATAGATGTTAAATGTATATGTATATTTATAGTAAATTGATCTCTTTTAGAGATGTCAACCCTAGGAATGATGAGATCAGTCATCTGTTCTGTAGCTTTTATGGTGGGCTTCCTGGATTGGTGACCCCTCTAATGCCCCGTGCACATACTTGTCATTTCATGCTTCTTTTTTTATGGTTACAACATTTTTCTTGTGATGAGAACTGTTAAGATCTACTCTCTTAGCAACTTTCAAATATAATACAGTATTATTAATTATAGTCACCATGCTGTACACTATATCTATAGGACTTATTTATTTTATAATTGAGAGTTGGTACCTTTTGACCACATTCAATCATTTTGCCCACCCTCCCAGCCCCTGCCTCTGGCAACCACCAATCTGTTCTCTGTATCTATGAGTTTGATTCTGTTTTGTTTTAGATTCTACATATAAGTGAGATCATTCAGCATTTGTCTTTCTCTGTGGGACTTATTTCAGTTAGCTGTTCTCAAGGTCCATTCATGTGGTTGTAAATGGCAAGATTTCCTTCTTTTTATGGCTAAATAATATTCCATTGTATATATACCACACCTTCTTTATTCACTCCTCCATCGATGATGAGCAGTTAGGTTGTTTTCATATCTTGATATACATATTATATATATACATACATATATATCACATTTTCTTTTGCATCAATGGACACTTAGGTGGCTTGCATGTCTTGGCTTTTGTAAAAATAATGCTGCATTGAACATAGCGGTACATGTATCTTTTCAAGTTAGTGCTGTCATTGACTTTGGATAAATACCTAGAAGTGGAATGCTAGATCCTATGGTAGTTCTATTTTTAATATATTTAAGGAACCACCATCTTGTTTTCATAGTGTCTGTACCCATTTACAGCCTCACCAGTAGTTCACCAGGGTTCCTTTTTCTCGACATCCTCACCAACACTTGTTATTTCTTGTCTTTTTGATGATAGCCATTCTAACAGGTATGAGGTGATATCATCATGGTTTTGATTTGCATTTCCCTGATAATTAGTGATGTTGAGCACCTTTTCATGTATCCATTGATCATCTGTATATTTTCTTTGGAAAAATATTTATTAAGATCCTCTCCTCATTTTAAAAGTAGATTGTTAGTTTTTTTGCTATTGAGTTGTATAAGTACTTTTATATATTTTTTGGATATTAACCTTTATCAGATATATGTTTGGAATATTTTCCCCATTCAATATGTTGCTTTTTCATTTTGTTGGTGGTTTCTTTTGCTGTGCAGAAGTCTTTTCGTTTGATGTAATCCTACTTGTTTATTTTTGCTTTTGTTGCCCTTGCTTTTGATGTCAAATTCCAAAAAACCATTGCCAAGAATGATATCAAAGAGCTTACCACCTATGTTTTCTTGTAGAAATTTTGTGGTTTCAGATCTGATGTTCAAATCATTAATTCATTTTGAGTTAATTTTTGTATATGGGATATGCTAATGGTTCAGTTTTATTCTTTTGCATGTGATTGTCCAGTTTTCCCAACACTATGCATTGAAGAGACTGTCCTTTCACCATTGTCTATCCTTGGCTCCTTTATTGTAAATTAATTGACCATATATGCATGGGTTTATTTCTGGGTTCTCTATTCTGTCCCATTGATCTACATGTCTGTTTTTATGTCAATACCATACTGTTTTGATTACTATAACTTTGTAATATAGTTTGAAATAAGGAGGCATGATGCCTCCAGCTTTTTTCTTTTTCTTTTTTTTTTTCAAGATTGCTTTGGCTATTCAGGGTCTTTGTAGTTCCATATAAATTTTAGAATAGTTTGTTCTATTTCTGTGAAAAATGGCATTAGAATTTTAATAGTGATTGCATTGAATCTGTAGATTGCTTTGGGTAGTATGAACATTTTAACAATATTAAGTCTTCCAGTTCATGAACATTGGATATCTCTCCTTTTGCATCTCTCCAATTTCTTTCTTCAATGTCATAGTTTTCAGTGCACAGGTCTTTCACTTCCTTAAATTTCTTTCTAGATATTTTATCATTTTATGCAATTGTAAATGTGATAGTTTTCTAAATTTCGTTTTCTGATAGTTCATTATTAGTGTATAGAAACACAACTGATTTTGGTATATTGATTTTATATACTGCAACTTTACTGAATTCATTTATTAGCACTAACAGTTTCTGGTGGAGTCTTTAGGGTTTTCTATATATAATATTATGTCATCTGCAAATAGTGACAGTTTTACTACTTCTTTTCTGATTTGTATGCTTTTTATTCTTTTTATTGCCTAATTTCTCTGGCTAGGACTTTCAATACTATGTTGAATACCAGTGGTGAGAATTGGCACCCTTGTCTTATTCCTGATTGGAGGAAAAGCTTTCAGCTTTTCACTGTAGACCAGCGGTTCTCAATCTGTGGGTCACAACCCCTTTGGGGGTCAAACGACCCTTTCACAGGGGTCGCCTAAGACCATCGGAAAACACATATATAATTACATATTGTTTACAGTAGCAAAATTACAGTTATGAAGTAGCAACAAAAATAATTTTATGCCCCTGGCCGGCTTGGCTCAGTGGATAGAGCATTGGCCTGAGGACTGAGGGGTCCCAGGTTTGATTCTGGTCAAGGGCATGTACCTTGGTTGTGGGCACATCCCCAGTGGGGGGTGTGCAGGGGGCAGCTGATCGATGTTTCTCTCTATCTCTCTCCCTTCCTCTCTGTGAAAAATCAATAAAATATATTTAAAAAAAATAATTTTATGGTTGGGGGGCACCACAACATGCAGAACTGTATTAAAGGGTCGCGGCATTAAGAAGGTTGAGAACCACTGCTGTAGACTATGATGTTAGCTGGGGTGGTTGTCATATATGGCCTTTATTATGTTGAGGTAGGTTCCCTCTGTACCCACTTTT